AAACAAAACAAGCCACCCCAAAATGCAAATTTCAGGTCCGATCCATTCCAGAATCTAGATAGCAGCAGTTCGATCCCTAACGAAGTTGTTTAACTCAATACTTCAGATTAACAGATGCAAATTTTTACTCCGACAAGCCCAGTAAATTTGCAGCAACACTGGAATTTATAAAGAAACAATCAAAACAGATACCAGGCGCGGTAGCGCAATCCCTGACACGCTATCAACTAGCTTCACCAAAGCGCCATAGTAAATGAAGCCATCCCTAACATTGAAATTTTCGGATTCTGCTGCATTCGGATCATCTTCAACTGAAATGCTCAAACACGAGACATTTTGAAACTGACACTCGGTAACTGTGCCCAAAAAAGGAGCACGACTTCATTAAAAAATGACACGATATTTAAGCCTATCAATGGCTCCCAAAAGATTCTAAGGAAAACCTTTTTCATTCAGTTTATTAACAGGTGGACACAAACGTTTCACAGAAAAAACATATCCGTAAAACCTTCCGAAAAACAAAAATCCCTCCCTTCAACTTCTTGAGTAATCAGCACAGCAATTTTAAAAACTAATAAGCCTATTTCGGTGATTTAGCTTGCTAAATTTCATGGCATCATACCGATTTTATAACCACACGCAACATATTGGAGAACAGCATCGACACATTCTACAGCAGTATAGCTGCCAGATTTCAACACAGTGCTATGAATTAACAAAACCGGCTTGTAAATGTCGTTAGTTACCAAAAGCTAGTAAGCCTTAGCTTGCACAGTTGGCAGTACCGCAGCTTTTTATTCCATAAAACCCCTCCTTTTGCATACTACAAAAATGCCTTCAGCAGCGAAGCAAAAATATTTTACTAGGAAAAAACTACTGAAAAATTTTCAGTTCTCCTAAGTGCGTTGTTTAAACCATAAAACATCCTTTTTATACAAAAAAATTAGTAAACAAACCTAAAATGATTTCCAGTTTTTTAATCGCCCAAAAACATTTTGCTCCAAATTATAATAAAAAATCCGACATCAATTTACTACTAAAGAACCTGGGAGCAAAATATTTGAAACTGAAAGATTCCTAACGTAAAAACTGAAAAAGTTGAGTTTCGAGTCCAAAACTTTCAGGTCTCACGATACCAGAGACATAGTAGGTGCTGGTAACGGTAGGCAGGATGGAGACAACAAGCAAAGGCGAGGCAAATCGTTGAATCCAACTACTCATTCACAAAATTATTACGGTAAAACTGAAGAAGCAAGATATGTTACAGTAAACTGTTGCCAACAAACTAACTCAGATGAATGGTGAAAGCGCCCCATTTTGTAGAGCTTGCATGAAAGCCACCTCCTTCCACATGCAAATAACGTGTACTGACCGTTTGTGACCTTAGCCTGTTGAACAGCGCCACCTTGAACATCATTCGTTCACGATTACAGTACGAGGCAGAACCAAAAGAGGAAATTCAACAGCGCAAGAGACAGCTGCAGTTTAAAGCGAAAGTCAGAAGAATGTTCGCACTCATAAACATACCTACAATGCCACCGAGTGCTAAAAGATGGGACAGCTTTTCTCGAAACTCAGCGCGGTGTGGAAAATTACACAAAACATAACTTAGGCGGTGAGCCAGGTCGACCTTTTTACTAGCCACTAAAATTCTTACAATGAAATAGTTAGGATGGATATCCGACAGTGAATCCTAATCTGCTCCTTGAAACTTAACAAGCAAGCGGATCCCTGGCCCCACACGAAATCTCCTCTTTTCCACAGGAAATGCGCGAAAAAAAAATCATGGATACTCTATCCAGTTTATGGATCACTTACTTTGGTGCCCGACGCAATGCAAAGGTATTTGCAGTCCGTATTCTTCATACTTTGCTTTTTTTTGCTCGGTTTACTGATTACTTTAATTCTTTGCGAGGTGAATATGCCAATTTCATGTCCAGATGCGTAAAAGAATTGAACAGAAAGCTCGAAATATTTGCGTTTATCCACATCCGAGATGTACAGAGTTTTCGCGGCACAGTAATCCTAAAGAATTTTCTACTGCATTGATTCATGACAAAAAATACTCTGATATGTGAAGTACCAAATATCAGACAGAAACTGCGCCAGGGAAGCAAGAAAGCAGCTGGAAAGATTCCTCCTTTTTACGTAGCTAGCTAGACAAAGGAGGGACATCATACAGCTTA